AAGATCAGAACGTCGGAAGAGCTAAATTGGCTTAGATGTGGGAGATATTCACCACAAAGCCTGAGGATATCTGATGAGGACATCAAGTCATCATCAACCAATGAGGAAGGAATCAGGAGACATAGAGAGGAGAGCATGGAGCCGAGGAGAGCTAAGGAGACATGCGAGCTGTTCTCAGTTCAAATGGAGATCAGAACCAAACATTCTAGGTCAACCAACACTTGGAATATCTTCTACACTCATCTAGAGAACGTCAAGAAGAAGAATCATCCCAAAATCTTTCCAAATGAAGAAGATATCGAATTTATAATCTGGAAAACCACCATTGGATTCGATGAAGACGTACAACCACTAATTAAAGCATTCCGACCAAACCAGGAGGAACTAATCAACAAATCAAGTTGCTTTGGATTCTCGATTCATCACAGACTTCGGGAGAATTGAAATCAATCAAATATCAGCTCGTATGAAGGAGATATTCAGTTTGCAAATCGAGTTTTTTTGGACTTCGCCGATTTGGACATATGCGCGTTGAAAGAAGGATTCCGACAAATTGAAGACGAGTTAAGCCATGAACAAATTTTTTCCAGATTCGTGAGCCCTCAGAGACATGCGGAGAATTGGTTTGAGGCCAATACCGGTTCAGAATTAAAAGTTATTGATTTTCTAAACCGGTCATTCCTCAGCTTGCCTTATTTGGAACCTGCCAGGTTTAGGAGACTTCAAAGTTATTTGTGGCGACCAGGAGACACTCATACACATCTAGAGTCTCTCAGAAACGTCAATCTATGCCGAGTCTACTCAAAAACTCAAGAGATCAAGCCAAGACACTACTTACCATATGTAGACCCGAGAATACTTATTTCACTCCAACGGCTAGTTCTCTTTGAAAGCTTCAAGTCTATTGACTGTGGAAGATTCTGCCTTGACCAGAGGCTCTCTTCACATGGAATTATCACTAAGATTTCAAGATACAAGTCTTTCCATAAGCAGCCCCAGCGTCATCACTCACCAACAACCATAATATCGAAAAGGCTCCACCAAAACTTTAAGTCTTCTCATTTATTTCGTATCATCTTCTTTCCTTATGTATGTTTTAGACTATTGGAGCTTGTTCCTACACGAGCCTATATATCTCAGTCTTTTGTCACAATGTAAATCACCCCTTGGCCATAGATTAATACAAAGTTTCTAGTTTTTCTTTCAAAGTAGTGTCTTTGAAGATTGTTCTTGTTCTTTTGAATAAAAGTGTGTGATTCATTTCTATTCTTTAGAAGCCACGAATTAAGTGTGTTTGTGAGATTCAAACATCCGTATTCGCCCATTTGATTGAGCGAGTCAATCACTTTCCTTCCATCTCTGCCATCGTTTCCACATTCCGCAAGTCTAGGCTTGGAATCTCTCAATCATCGAGTGGTCTTAGAATTGGAGTGATTCCGATCCTATATCAATATCGAAGCAAACAACTTGTCCTCCAAAGCAAGCCATCCAAGTAGAAAAGACACCTAAAACAAACTCCAATCTGTTTGGAAATCAAGGTAAGTCTTCTGAACCTAAACTATTTAAGGAACTAACTTGTTACAGGTGCGAAGGACAAGGGCACGTTGCTAAATTTTGTCCCACGAGGAAGGTGACGCCCAAAATAGAAACGGTGCAACAAAACCTAAGCTGTGATCCGCAAGCGAATATCAACAACCCTACATATCACATCCAGGTTAATTCTGAAAATTCTTTTGATCATACTTTACAAACTCTTGACAAGCTTATGCATATGGTTAGTACAATGAGAGAACAAGAGTTGTTAAAAGTTACGGAGAAACAAGAAATTGTTTTAAGTCCGAAAATCAAAGAGGCTAAAACTGAAACTTGTCAAACTGATTTGAATGATTCAATGATTGTGATAACACACTTGTCTAGTGTCAAGAACATTGAGAAAGTCAGGCAAAGAGGAAGACAATACGGACAAAGAGCCTCCAACTTACCTTATTTGGCCGATTGCGCATTAATTCTCCAACGACTAGTTTCTGATTTAATATTCACGATTTGCTTCTTGTTTCAGACTTTAGAGATGTTCTATGTCGAGCCTATGTAAGCTCATTTAATTCCTCATTGTAAATGACCCTTCATATTGAATTATTCAATAACAACATTAAGTTTTGTTTTAAAAAAGTGTGTCTTTTGTGTTTTTGTCATTTCAAGCCCTTGGTGAGATTCCATTGTCTTGTATGATTGCGTTTCTAGGTTGTTTGTGAGATTCAAATAGTCTGGTTCGTGTGTTGTTGTGGATTCAACGACAAAACCTCCATTTCCTTCTCTATCATCATCCATCTTCCGCGTGCTTAGCTTGTAAAATCTCGATCATCTTGTGAACATAAGTTTGGTGGATTCCA